ATAATTAGGAAGTATTTTGCCCAATTGTGTGTCAATAGATTTGACAATCTACATGAAGTGGATGAATATTTACCAAAAATATATAAATTTTCTAGAATAACAGAAGAGGTAACAGAAGCTGTACCTCCACTTTAGAGGAAAGAAATTGAATAAGCCACCAGTGAACTCCCTAAGAAAACATCCCCAGGGTGAGATGGATTCACATGTGAATACTACCCATTATTTAATGAAAAATTAATTCCAATACTGTATAAACTATTTGGGGAAATAGGCAAAGGAAGAGTGCTGCCACATTCCTTTTATGGCACAAGTATGGTGTTGATAATCTGCACCAAGAACAGCCAAGACAGAGAAAGAAAACTATAGACCAATTTCCCAAGTGAGTATTCATACAAAAATTTTAAATAAAATACTGGCAAGGAGATTACAATAATATATCACTAGAAACATACACTTTGACCACATAGCATTTATCCTAGAAATGCAGGGCTGGTTCAATATTTGGAAAACTTTCAGCATAAGTGACCATATAAATAATAAAACCCACAGAAATTACGTGGTTGTCTGAAGAGATGCAGAAAAATTTTTTACAAAATACAGCACACATTCCTAGGAAAAATACTGGAGACCATAGAAATAAAAGCAGCTTTCCTTAAAATAATATCTGTAGCATCTCTCTAAAACCATCAGCAAGTGTTATCTGTAATGGGGATAAGTTAGAAGCTTTCCCAATAAGATCAGGGGTGAAACAAGGATGCCCATTATCACCACTATTATTCAATATTATACTGGAAGTATTAACTCTACTAATCAGAGAGGAAAAAGAAATTGAAGGAAATAGAATACTCAGGAAACAAATCAATCGCTGTTTCTAGATGATGCGATGATATACTTACAGAATTTTAAAGAATCAACTAAAAACTAGTTGAAATCATTAACAATTTTAACATAGTTGCAGGATACAAACTAAATCAACATAAAGCATCAGTATTTCTTTTTTGATTTTCATTAATTTTTTTCTTATTCATTTATTCATTTTTAGTTTTCAACATTCACTTCCACGAGATTTTGAGTTCCAAATTTTCTCCTCATCTCATCCCTCCCCAAACCCAAGATGGTGTGCATTCTGAATGCCCCTTCCCCTAATCTGCCCTTCTCTTATTCCCTCTTCCCCTTCTATTTTCCTGTACAGCAGGATAGACTTCTACACTCCATTGCCTGTACATCTTATAAGCATCAGCATTTCTATATATTACCAACAAAGCATAGCAGCAAGAGATAGAAAGAGAAAATTTATTTCAAATTACTTTAGATATTTAAAATACTTTGGCATCAACCTGCTAAGATAAGCCCAGGAACTTTATGAACACAATTACAAAACACTTTTCCCACAAATAATGTCAGACCTAAACAACTGCAAAATTATTGGTTACTCATGAGTGGGCTGAGCCAATAAAATAAGGAAGACAATTCTACCTAAATTAATTTACTTGTTCAGGGCATATCAATCTAACTACCAAAAACTATTCTGTAGAGCTAGAAAAAAATAATAACAAAATTCATCTGGAACTACAAAAGGCCAAGAAATCAAGGGAATTAATGAAAACAAATGTGTAGGAAAGTGGCCTAGCCCTGCCAGATCTCAGACTGTATTCAAAGCAGTAATCATCACAACTATCTGGTACTGGCTAAGAAATAATGTGGTGTGTCAATGGAATGGATTAGGTACACAGGAAACAGTAGTAAATGACCATAATAATGCAGTAGTTGATAAACCCAAAGATTCCTGCTTTTTACACAAGAACTCACTAGTTACTGAAACTGCTGGGAAAAATTGGAAAACAGTATGCCAGAAACTACATATAGATCGAGACTTTACACTGTATACCAATGTGCTGTGCCCAGAGTAATATAAATTTTGATCCCATAAGCCTCCCAAGATATCTTGGAGTTTGGGAGCTAGATTTTTTGGCCTCTTCCCTACTTATTTATTTTATCATTTAAAAAAACCTGGGACAATTAACACTTCTGTCCCATCTATTCTCATTTACAATTTTTTGAAATAGAGCTCTGGAAAACCAGGCTTTGATAAAACCCATTTGGATTAAAATAGACCTACTTTAGTATTCCTTGAACCCAAATCACTCTGGTTCTCACTGAGTGGCCCATAATAGGTCCTGGCCTAAGCCTCACTTGGTCATTGTTTGGGTTTTGATGGCTCAGAGTGAGTGTAAGTAGCAATTTTTTCTATTCTGGCCAAAAACCAGAAAAGTCTTCCCCTTCCAGACTGAATTTTTTTGAATAGGCAAACTAAAGCATCCCTTGCTTCATTTCTTGTCTAGTCTTAAATCACTGAATGGTGTTTCCTCAGAGAAACTGAGACCTGTGAAAGACCTTAGCTTAAAAAGTCTAAGTTCTCCCACTGCATCTGGGGGCCATGTCCAGTCATCCAAATCTATGTCTTATCACTGGACTCAGATGATCCTGGAGGAAAGAGTGAGACTTTGCATGGCCCTGCCTTATTTAAATCCAATTCACTTGCAAGTCAAGACATCACCCTTCTGACATCATTGGTCCTCTTCCAGAACAAAGGATGGACAACACAACAACAACAAGGTGAGATCAAAATGGGTAGATGATTTAGACATAAAGGGTGATACCATAAGCAGATTAGGAGAGGAAGAAATAGTTTTTACCTGCCAGAGCTATGGAGAAGGGAAGATTTTATTACCAGACAAGAGATAGAGAGCATTTTGAGATATAAAATGGACTATTTTAATTATATTAAATTTACAAAGTTTTGCACAAAGAAAACCAATGCAAAAAAGAAAAGATTAGAAGGAAAGCAGAAAGCTGGGAACAATTTTTACAACTGTCTTTGATAAAAGACCTCATTTCTCAAATATGTAGAGAATTACATTACACTTTTAAGGATACAAGTTATTTCCCAATTGATAAATGGTCAAAGGATATGAACAGGTCATTTTCAGGTGAAGAAACCAAAGCTATCTATAGTGATAGGGAAAAATGCTCTAAATCATATTGATTAGTGAAATACAAATTAAAACAACTCTGAGGCACCACCTCACACCTATCAGATTGACAAATATGAGAAAAAAGGAAAATAATAAATGTTAGAGGGGATGTTGGAAAATTGGGACACTAATGCACTGTTGGTGGATTCTGGAGAGGAATTTGAAGCTATGCTGAAAGGGGTATAAAACTGTCAATACCCTTTTATCCTTACTTATAGATCTAGTGAATAGACAGATTGATAAGAATTTATCATTTATTAAGAGATAATTTAGAGTAAGACATATATCACTGTAGGAATAAAATAATCATGAGATTAGAAGACTTTTTAAAGGCTAAGTTTCCCATCCTGGCAGCTGGAGAAAGGGGAGTTGACAACAGGTAAAATTCTTTAGACTTAGTGGATAAGCTCCCTTACTTTTCTTCAGCTAGAGCTCAAATGCGAGTTCAGTAGTATAATCTTGTAAGGTTTGGTTTCCCTTTCTGGCAAGTACAGGATTGGTGGGGTGGTGGTGGGATGACTGCTGCCTGCAAACCACAAGTTCCTCTTTCCCATTCTTAGTTCAAACTACAGGCCCCTTGAAAGGAAGCTTTCTGGTTACAAAATGCTTCAGCTGTGGGGCAAGGCCTTCTGGGGTAATCTTACTTGGACATGCTGCCAACAGTATGATTGTAGGTTAAGAAAGCTTGGGAGAAGCAAACCAGTCAGATGACCTGCCTTGTCCAACTGAAGTATGTTCAAAACAAGTTTTCTAAACTTGCTCTATTTTTTATTCCTCTTTTCTGTAATAAAAAAAAATAAGTTCTGAAATCATTCCTTTGTCACAAATTACTGAGGAATTCATTGATCTGACTTAAGGGGAAACTGCCAACCATTACTATGAAATCATTATTTATTTGCTTGGAAACTTTGTAGGTCAGAATTATTTTCTATTTCAGAAAATTAATTTTAATAGTCAGAAGCAACAAAAGCTTTAGGAGTTCTCAAGGAAGAGACAATTAGGGGACCTAGCAAATGGTTAGAAAGAGATGATGGAGACCACTGTGGTAGCACTAGACACAAGATTGGAAGCAGTTTGGACACTCCATTGACTATACAGACTTCTAGGTCATAGTTCAAAGGCAGAGAGGAACACTTTCTGGCAAGAGGGAGCAGGGACCCTGAGGAGCAGTATCTTTTTTTGGTCACAGTACAACAGGGAATACTGAATACTGAAATAGCTCTATCTTAAAGGGAAAAACAAAAAACAAAAAACAAAACCAAAAAAAAACCCAAGGCATTAATGAGTTCCCTAGGACAAAATTCCCAGGACCAGATTGATTTGAAAGTGAATTCTACTAAACATTTAAAAACATTTCATTCCAATACTATATAAACTATTTGAAACAACAAGTAAAGAAAGAGCCCTATCAAATTCCTTTTATGGCACAAATATGTTTTTCATACATAAAGAAGGGTGTGGGAACATACACACACCAATACATTCGTGGTGGACCTGTGAAATGACACATCCATTTTGGAAAGTCATTTGGAAATATGCAAAGAAAGTAAAAATAATGTCCAAAGCTGTGAAATGCTCCATTACACCTCGACAAAGCCATCAATATGAAAAAAGTCCCCGCACACTCAAAAATAGTTATAAAAGCACTTTTTTGTAACAGCTATGCATTGGCAACAAAGTAAATGCTCACCAACTGGGAAATGGCTAAACAAGGCTTGGAATATAAATGTCATGGAATACTGCTACCATGCTACAAGAAACAATGTGTGCAATGAGTGCAGAGAAGTATGTGAACTGATGCAAAGTGAATTAAGCTGAGCCAAGAAAACAGTACGTATACATAGAAACTATGACAATTTAAATAGAAAGAATAACACACACAAAAAAAATTAAAAGTGCCTGTAATAAAATGTGAAAGATCAAGTGGAACTGAAAAGGAAATATGAGAAGACACCAACATCCTACCCTGTTCATATGGTGGGAGGTCCACAGCTGTTACACATGGCACACCTTGTCCTGAATTCATTGATCAGTTGTGTTTGCTTTTCTTTTACTTCCTAAAACAAAAAATAAATTTGGTTGCATGACATGGCTGTTGAGGATGGGAAAAGGGAGGGATACATGAGATACCCTGGTGATATAAGAAACAGAAAACTGTTGCCAGCAATCAAGCAGGGCACCAGATGGGAGAGCACGAAATAAAAGAAAACGTGGCCCAGGCGGTACAGTGAAGACTGAGTGTTTATTCATCTGAGGGTCACAGCATATATAGAAAAAACCTAACATAACTTCAAAGAGTCATCCCCGTGAGACACTCCCCAAACATCTTCTGTGTACATGCCATTACAACATACGTTTCCTTGTTATCAGGGTTCACAGATCGGACAGAATACTCCAAGGCCTTCCCTGGCTCTCTGGTGCCACCTGCACAGAGGAGTGGTGTATAAATCTAAGAGTTCAAAGAGCAGGATTGTTCAAGAGAACCTCCCTTGCTCGGGAGATTGGGGAGCCAACTTCTTAATAATGTGAGCCCTAGGGGTCAAGACCAGGAGAGAGTCAAACTCTGTCCTGGATCTTAAAACCAGATCAGACTCCTTTAGGGCTGGTCCTCACAGAAAACATCAATAAAAAGTTTTAAGAAGAGGTTAAGTATGTCAAGGGAAATGATGGGGGAAGGGAAGAAAGAAAGAAAGGGGTTTGGCATCAGTAGCAGATTTCAAACAATACTACAGATCAGTGATTATGGAAATAATTGTTGCTGTTATTTAGTCCTGTCTGACTTTTCCTGACCCCATTTGTTGTTTTCCTGGCAAAGACATTCGAGTGATTTGCCATTTCCTTCTGCAGTTGATTTGATGGATGAAGAACTGAGGCAAACAGGGTTGAGTGACCTGCCCAGGGTCATACAGCTAGAAAGTATCTGAGGCCAGATTTGAAATCAAGGAGGTGAGTCGTCCTGACTTCAGGCCCCACAGAATATATAACTGTCCAGAAAACAATTTGAACTTGTTAAAAATTCAAAAATTGTTCAATGGTATAGATTAGGTATGCAATGTACAGAAAGAAATAAGAATAAAATACTGTTTAATAAATTCAAAGACAGAAATGGGAGGAGAGCTGCATGGAAGGACACAATTTTTTTTTTAGGCAATTGGGTTTAAGTGACTTTCCCCGGGTCACACAGCTAGTAAGTGTGAAGCATTTGGTCTGAGGCCAGATCTGAACTCAGGTCCTCCTGACTTCAGGGCCAGTACTCTAGCCACTGCGCCACCTAGCTGCCCCCACAATTTTTGATTAAAAAACCAAACAGATGGGATAAAGGAAAAGCAGTTTGGCAAAAATTTGACAGGACATCAAAATCTCACATCACCTATCAAATTAAACTACAAATGGATACATGTATTAGGTATAAAAGGGGAATCAATACCAAATTAAAGGAGCAAGGAGGAAATTACTTGTCACATCTATGGATATGGGGAAGAGGTTATAACAGAACAAGCCACAGACAAGAACACAGAAAAAGAAATGGATCATTCTGCTTTTATAAAGTTGAAATGTTTTTGCACAAATAGATTGAATGCAGTTTAAATGAGAAGGGTAACAGTTAAGTGAGGAAAAATATCTTTGCAGTAAAGTTCTCTAAGGACTGTTGCATATGCAAGATATAAAAGGAACTGATTGCAAATTCTAACATTAAGAGGCATTCTCCAGTAGGTCAAAGGACATGAACAGGAAGTTTTCAAAAGAACAAATCCAAGCTCTCAATAGCCCTTTTTGTCATAAATGTTCCAAATCCTTCATAATGAGAGAAGTTCACATTAAAAGAACTCTTTTTGAATAAATATTCATAAAGTGGAAAGATCTAGTTTGGGAGTCTGCCTACACAGTAGAAATAGAGACCTGGGTTTGAGTCTCATTTGGTAATCTAATCCCTTTCTATTTCCAAATAAGGTATCGTGCACAGTAAAGTACAAGATATTCAAATATAAGATATTATTTAAGAAAATTTTGGAGTCTTGAAGCTAGGTTTCCTTAAAACAGACTTCAGAAAATATTGGTAACTTCACAGTTAGCTAAATGACCTGATACCTTTTATTTGTTTTATTTCTCCACATTTTTGCTATTTCATTTTAAAATGACTCTCCCCTAAAACAATGTTCTGCATATGTTTGAATAATTTTAGTCCCTAAATGAATATGCTACTGATTTTCTGCAGCCCACTAGATGGCACCAAAGGAAATAAAATTACCTCGAGTTGAATTTAATGACCATTTTCTTTTAAATTTTGATTACGAAGCTACTGAATTTTGTACTATTATTTCTTTGAGTGTCTTTTTGATTTGGCAGTGTATGTTTCTTACAATATATGATGAACAAAACATTTCAGCAGTTATTGCTAATTATATGTCAAGATTGTGTGTGGATGTTACTAATAGTTTCAGAACAAAAAATAAATAGAAGAACTCTTTTCTTTCAGTCTGTAAATCATAGAGATATGCAGTTTCAGAAACAGTCCCTTCTTTCTGTTCCACAACAAGGTACATGGAAACACCACTTTCACCAGGTTCTGGTTGTGTCCAGAACTATAAAACAAATACACCTTGTAACTAAAGAACACCAAACAAAAGGGATGATATGGAGAAGGGGAGAGGAAGAGTTCTTAGACTCTCCTCTCTCCCCAGCCCCCAGGGTAAGATAAGAATGAGAGGAAGTGAGGAAGAAAGGACTGAAAGATCCACCAGAGGAGGGAGTGTACACAAAGGCTTCTTCTCCCTCCTGGCCTTCACTCCACCCCATTCCACCTCATGATCCCGCCTCCAGTCCTCCAGACAGAGGCAGGAGCAGCCCTGGAGGAGAAGGCACACACAGGTTCACCCCTGAACACATAAACCCATACATACACACAGACACACACCCAGATGATCTTACATACATACACAACACACAAACAAATTAAGGTATTGATACTCCCAGGACTTTCCACCCACCCTTACACACATCCTCTCTGGCACTAAGCGAAGCCAATTGATGAGAGGAGGGTGGGCTTCATGAAAAGGTTGGGGGAGAAAGGAAGAGAAGAAAAGGAGAAGGGAAGGGCTGAGGCAGGAATAGTGGAGGAGGCTCTTACCTTACTCACAGCCACTTAAGCACTGGCAGGACCCTCAGGATCCGTCAGTATGGAAGATGGAGGTAATGGAGGGAACGGGTGAGGAGGGAGAAAGAAAGAAGTAGGTGAGGGATATGGAGACTTGGACCTGCTCATCCCACTCCCATACTCCTCCAGAGACAAAAACATACACTCAATAGAGGGTGGGAGGGGCTGGTCACTGTGACGTCACTTCAGGGCGGAGCTAGTCTCCTCCCAGAGAATAGAGGGAAGGGAGGAGGGAGCGAAGGAGGCTCTGAGACATCAGGCCCGGATCAGTTGGGAGATTTCCCCGAATCGTTTCTCTCAGCCCTCATCGCCCAAACTGGCTAGGGGAGGGTGCTACAGTGCATCCTCCACCTGGAGGTGGGCTCGGAGCTGATTAGGGTGCCAGGTTCCTGAGGGCAGGCTGCTGGGGCTGGGGGTGGGGAGCAGCAGCTGAGCTCAGCTTGGGGCTTCGAAGGGTCGGCCCGTTTATGGAAACTGGGAGCGGGAGGACAAAGAGGGAAAGGGGGAGGTAGCGGGAGGGGTGTCCTGGGCTCCACAAAAGGGAAGAGAACAATAGCTGCAGCAGCATCTGCAAGCCACCAGCCCTTGAATGGGACTTGGATTCCTCACCACCCCGAGAGAAGAGGAAGAAAGAGGGGAAGGGGCAGATCTCAGCCTCCTTCCTCTAGGCAGGAGGAGGTCAGGCGGGTCAGGAAGGGTCAGGAGGTCACCAGGGAGGCACGTCTTCCCGCTGTTTTATGTGTGAGTATCCTCCTCTACAATCCTATGTAATATGAAACTTCCAGAGGGTGGACAAGAGGGAGCCACACACCCCTTTCTGGCTCAGTATCCTTTACCAAGAGACTTCATAAATTTCTTTCTAAAACTATTTCACATTTGGGGTTTTATTCTCTCCAACACCGGTTTCCCTGCCACTAGTGAATTGGAGGAGTGGATAGACAGCTAGAATCTCAGTCACAAGACCTAGCCTGAAATTCTGCCTTACTCATTGTGTGACCATAGGCAAGCCACTTAAATACTCTAAAAACCTCAATTTCCACACCTGTAAAATGGGGGTAATAATAATAACTAAACTAAGTAATTTACAGGGTGGTTGTAAGGTCCAATGGGATGTTTGCAAAGTGCTTTTCAAACCATGAAGCACTATAGAAGTGTTTATTATTCTCATTATTATTATTATTCATGTCTCTTACTCTTTCTGATGGATTTTACATATCATGCTATTGACTCTTTAGTTTAATGTTATTCAGATTATTGCACAGAGTAACTGTGGTTTTTTTTTTGTAATTCTATAAAATGATTGAGATGTTAACTCATCTACTGCAGGCTCCATGAATATATCTTTAGGACAATTCTAAGAGGAGACAGGACTGTGGGGATGACATATTCCTCATGCTGTTCCCACACATTTTTCAGTTCTTTCCCTGGGTCTCTATATACTGAAAGCTTTCCATCCATGCAGCTTAGAGATTAGTAGCACAGTCCAGGAGAGCAATGATCTTATCTCTCCCCAAATCACATTACCTGGCAACCACTGAAAACTTCCAAACTTCCAGAACTAGCGTTGAAAATAGCAGTGTGAAAAAGAGTGAAGTGTCAGACATTTCATTTCCCCACTGCTCCCACTTCGGAAATAAAGACCAACTTTAATATAAATATAAAGTCAAGGAATAAGCTGGGAAAATGAATAAAAAATAGTCTGACCATGAAAAGCTGCAGTAGAGACAAGGAAGGTCAAGATACAAACAGGGGTAGCAATCATGATCTCAGACAAAGTAAAAGCAAAAAAAAGACCCAATTCAAAAAGTAGGGAAACTCCATCTTGCTAAAGAGTATCACAATAAAATAATGTAATAGCAGCATTAAACAAATATACACCAAATAGCAGAGCATCCAACTTCTTAAAGGAAAAATTAAATGACTTAGAGAAGGAAAGTCAAACTATACTAATGGGTGATCCTAACTTTCCACTTTCAGAGTTAGGCAAATCTATGCATAAAATAAATAATGAAGAAGTTAAGAAGATGAAAAATGTCTTAGAAAAGGCAGATATAATAGACTTTTTGGAGAAAACTCAATGGGAATAGAAATGAATATAACTTTTCCTCATCTGTACATGGGACCTTCACAAAAACTCAACATGTATTAGGACATAAAAACCTCAAAACCAAATGGAGAAAAACAGAAGTCTTAAATGCACCCTTGTAGACCACAGTAATGAAAAGGATTCAATAAAGCATTTGGAAACAGATTCAAAAATTAATTGAAAACTAAATAATCTAATCCTAAAGAATGAATGGGTCAAAAGACAAATCATACAAAACAATCCAGAATTTCATTAAAGGGAATGCCAATAATGAGCGAAGATATGAAAAATGGTGGGATGCAACCAAAACAGTACTTGGGGAAATTGTCTTTCTCTAAATGCTTACATCAATAAAACAGAGAAAGAGCAGATCAAGGAACCAAGCATGAAATTTAAAAAAAAACAAACAGGAAGAATTTTAAAATTTCCAATTAAATATCAAAATGTAAGTGCTGAAAATCAAAAGTGAGATGAATATCAATGAAAGAAAAAAATCAATGAATAGAACCAAGAATCAGTTGTATAACAAAAAAAAAAACTTTAACCACTGGTTATCTGATTTAAAAAAAGAAAACCAAATTACCAGTCTCAAAATTGAAAACAGTGAATGCATAATTAATGAAGATGAAATGGAAGTAGTTATTAGGTTGTATTTTGCAAAATCATATGCCAAGTAAACTGAAAATCTAAGTGAAATGAGTGAATATTTCCAAAAATACAAATCACACATGTTAATTGAAAAGGAAATAAAATACTTAAATAGCCCCATCTTAAAAAAAAAAATTGGACAAGGCATGAATGAGTTCCGTTAAACAAAATCCCAAGGACTAGATGGATTTATAATTAAATTCCACCAAACACTTAAGGAATAATTCATCCCCATACTATATAATCTATTTGAAAAAAAAAAGATAAAGAGAAGGCCTACCAAAGGCCTTTTATAACAAAAATATGGTTTTGATACCTAAACAAGCCAATGCAAAAGGAGAGAAAGGAAAGTGTAAGCCAATTTCCTTAATGAATAGCAATGAAACATTTGAAATCAAATCCTATGAAGGAGATTACAGCAGTATATCACAAAGGTCATATACTATGACCAGTGGGATTTATACTAAGAATTCAGAGCTGTTTCAAAGCTAGGAAAACTATCAGTAGAATTGACCATATTAATAACAAAACCAACAAAAATTATACAATTATATAAAAAGATGCAGAATTTTTTTTTATAGAATACATCTATTTATAATAAAAACACTAGAATGCATAGGAATCAACAGAACCCTTCTTAAAATGCCAAGTACTATCTTTTCAAAACCAAGAGCAAGTGTTATCTGTAATGAGAATAAAATTGAAGCCTTTTGAATAAGATAAGGAGTGAAGTAAGGCTGTCCATTGTCACCACAATTATTCAACATCATACTAGAAATCTTAGCTGTAGGCAGGGGGCAAGAAAAAGAAAGTCAAAGAATAAAAACAGATGATGAGGACAAAAAAAATTACTCCTCTTTGCAGGTGATATATAGTATATTTTGAGCACTCCAGAAAATCAAATAAAAAAAAACTAATGGAAATAATAACCATAGCAAATTTGTGGGATACAAAATAAACCTTCATAAGTCATCATCATTTCTATGTACTACCAACAAGATGTAGCAGGAAGAGATAGAAAGAGAAATTCCATTTAAAATAAAGGTAAACAATATAAAATACTTGGGTGGCTCCCTGCCAAGACCTAACCATGGACTTCATGAAAACAATGACAAAACACTCTTCATAAAATAAAGAGAGAACTGAACAACAGGAGAAATACGATTTGCTCCTTAGTGGGCTGAGCCAATAAAAATGACAATTTTACCCAAGTTGATTTACTTATTCAAGCCAAAACAAACTATCCAAGACTTATTTCATAGAACTAGAAAAAATAATAACCAAATTCATCTGTGAAGAACATAAGGTAAAGAATTTGAAGGGAATCAATGAAAAAAATGGTAAGGAATGTACTTAAGTAATACTAGATTTTAAATGATCATGAAAATAATCTGATACTGGGTAATATACAGAGGAGTGGATTAATGAAATAGATTAGGTACACAATGCATGGTAGGAAATGACCACACTAATGTAGTGTTTAGTAAACCAAACTCACCACTTCACAAAAATTGCTGGGAAAACTGGAAAGCAATTTGGCAGAAGTAAGCATAGATCAACATGTCACATTGTATACCAAGATAAGGTCAAAATGGGTACATGATCTTGACATAAGCAGTGATATCATTAGTAAATCAGGAGAGCAAATAAAAATGTACCTGTTACATCCACAGACATGTGAAGATTTTATGACCAAAAAAGATAGAGAGGACCATGCAAAGTGAAATAGATAATTCTAATTACATGAAATTAAAAATGCACCAAAAAATTAATGCGGCCAAAATTACAAGGAAAATAGGTAGGCAGGGGGCAAATTTGACAGTGTGTTTCTCAAATGAAGATGTTATTTCTCAATTATATAAGCAGCTAAGCTAGATGATAGGAATAAGAGTCATTCCTCAATTGATAGTCAAAGAATATGAACAGGACGTTTTCAGGGGAAGATATCAAAGCTATCAATAATAACATGAAAGAATGTTCTAAATCACTACTAATTAGAGAAAGTCAAATGAAACCAACTCTGAGATACCACCTCACACCTATCAGATTGGCTAATGTGACAGAAAAGGAAAATGACAGTGGAAGGAAAAAAAAACTTGGAAACTAATGCACTCTTCATGGAGTTGCGAACTACTCCAACCATTTTGGAGTACAATTGGGAAGTGTGTCTGAAGGATTACAAAACAATGAATACCTTTTGACCCAACAGTGTCACTCATTATTAGGTCTGTTTCTCTAGGTGATTAGGGAAAAAAGAAAGAACTTTAAGCTTTAAAACATTTCTAGAAGTTCTCCTTTTGGTGGCAAAGAACTGGAAACCAAGGAGATTCCCATCAATTGGTGAATGGCTAAATAAGTTGTGGTATATAATTGTGATGTAATATCATTGTGTTATAAGAAATGATGATTTGGTTGATTTTAG